AAAAGAAAAAAGCCGGAAGTGGTGCTGTGGCTCAAGTGGTAGAGCGCTAGCCTTGAGCTGAAGAGCTGAGGGACAGCGCCCAAGCCCAGAGTTCAGGCCCCACAACCAGACCAAAAAAAAAAAATCACTCCATGCTGAGAGCAAACCACTGCCCAAACTAAAAGGCACTGAAGTATTCCCATCCCTGTTGGTTTATGGTCTCTGGCAAGGATACCCTGGAAGATTGCTTCCTATCCTCATTTTATTATTTCTTCCTCTTCCTCTTCTCCTTCTGCTTCTCCTTCTTCTCCTTCCTCTCTTCCTCTTCCTCGTCTTCCTCTTCCTCCTCCTCCTTCTTTTGTCAGTCATGGGGCTTGAACTCTAGGCTTGGGGGCTGTCCCTGCACTCTTCAGTTCAAGGTGAATGTTCTACCACTTGAGCCACAGCACCACTTCTGGTTTTCTGAACACTGGAGATGAGTCTCATGGATTTTCTTGCCCGGGATGGCTTTGAACTTTGTTCCTCAGATCTCAGCCTCCCAAGTACCTAGGATTACAGGCATGAGCCAACAGTACCCAGCTACATCTTCTTTTTAATGCTAGTTGTGGGGCTTGAATTCAAGGCCCGGGAACTAGCCTTGGTTTTTGTTTTGTTTTGTTTTGCTCAAGGCTAGCACTCTACCACTTGAGCCACAGTTCCATATCTGAGTTTTTGGTGGTTCATAGGAGATAAGAGTCTTATGGACTTTCCTGCCTAGGCTGGCATCAAATCGTGATCCTCAGATATCAGCCTCCTGAGAAGCTAGGATTACAGATGTGAATCACCATTGCCCAGCCCTTATAACTACTTCAATCACTCACTGAAGTAACTCTTCATAATCCAAAACAAAGGATCACTGACTACCTGGCACAAGCTCATAAACATTTTCAATACTATTCCTATTTGGAAGCTTTCAAGTAAGAGTGGCTTTCTGGGAAATATGCAATGTACCATCAGCAGAGAATGTAGAAATCCCATCACCTGGTCCTACATTGTCCACACTTGCGTTGGGGCAGCATTTCCTGGGTTGATTTTGCCTCAAGAAATAGAACACTTTGCAAGAACCATAGAGAGGAACTGACTACAATCAATTCCCTATGCCCATAGGCATAAATTGTGCCCTCGTCTGTGACAGTAATTACTGACAATAAAACCTCCCATCAACCTAGGAGGCAACATCAAATCCGGCAGGCTTTGTTAGTGGTACAAAAGTCCTACCTGATTGAAATCAAGTATTTTTACTTCTAGCTCTTTTGGGTTCATGTGAATTTTATGAATTATAAATGGCCACATCTTGCAAGGCACTAAGTGGCTCACGCCTGTAATCCTAGCTACTTAGGAGGCTGAGATCTGAGGACTGTGGTTCAAAGCCAGCCTAGGTAGGAAAGTCCATGAGACTTTTGTCTCCAATGAACCACCTGAAAACTGAAAGTGATGCTGTGGCTCAAAGTGGTATAGTGATAGCTTTGAACACAAAAGCTCAGGGGCAGCACCTAGCCCCTGAGTTCAAGCCCCAACAACACATCCATCCATCCATCCATCCATCCATCCATACATGGCTATAAAGGGCCATATGTGTGCACACGCATGCAGCTAGGCTCTTTGGAGAAAGCTGCCCATAGTCAGACCCCTGTGCACCACCGAGGAAGAGGGGAGAAATCTGTCACTATTTCTCCTACTTGCTTTTCCTTTCTAGAACCTTTCTAGGGGAAACCTCAGGCAAATTTGCCCTTACTTTCGGTAGACTTTCTCGAGCTTTGCATTCTGGGGACAAAGAATGTAGCGCTGGTTCCTGGTCTGGTTTCACAAATACCTTGGGCCCCCGGCCCTGGGACCTCCTGCAGATGATGCAGGTCAGGAGACGGGCTCCGGCTCTCCGCCATCAGAGCAGACACGCCACATGGCAGGAGCATGCATCAAAAACTGGAGCTGGCCTAAGCCAGGCCTGCCCTGGCAAACAGCCCAAGGAGATGAAGATGAAAGGGCCCGCCAGCACTAATGCATCAGCATCTGTGTTTGTTTAAAATATGTACAGCTAGAAAGAGAGAGAAAGAGAGAGAGAGCGATTTTGTTTTCTCACAGAACATTCGGAGCCAATTTTGGCACCCAGATCCTCACATGAAAACCTCATGGGGCTGCAGGAGGTGTGAGCAGGCGCTCAGGGCAGAATTTCCTGCCTACACTGGAAATTCCAATGATAACTGACATTGGATTATTATTTTAAAGGAAAGGAGAAACTGCTATACACTTAAGATGGCAAGGGCGGCCACAGTGGTATGTGTGCTGAGCACTGGAAACCCAAGTGTAGAAATCAATCTCAAGGGCTCCCAAAGTGGCTTCCCAAGACCAGCCTTACCCCGGAGCTTGCTCGGACTGAACACTGCCAGACCTCACTCAAGATCCCAGTGATCAGTAAATAGTTCCGCAGCTTTAATCCTGCCAGCCATTCTGATGCACCCTCAAGTGTGAGAAATTGACTCAGAAATGACCTCTAAGCTGGACATTAGTGGCTCACACCTGTAATCCCAGCTACTCAGGAGGCTGTAATCTGAGGATCACAGTTCAAAGCCAGCTTAGTCAGGAAAGTCCATGAGATTCTTAAATCCAATGAACCACCAGAAAACCCAAAGTGGAGCTGTGGCTCAAAGTGGTAGAGCACTAGCCTTGACTAAAGAAGCTCGGGACAGCGCCCAGGCCCCAGAGTTCAAGCCCCACGATCGAAGACAAAAGAAAAGAAGTTACTGTCCACTGACTGTGTAAGACACTCTGGCTGCAGTCAGAGCTAAGGAGGTACTTGTGTCCTGCCCGTTTGGAGTTTGGCAAGTAAATGTGCACACCGAAACCTTGCACAGCCTGGACCTCTATAACACGTCAGCAGAAGAAAGCCCACTGCATAGGATTGCTCACACACATCCAGACTAGCAGAGCTCAATAGCAGTGTAACATTTTGAGCCAGAACATTTTGTTGTATTTGCCTTGGTTTCTACCTACTAGAGAATAGTATCACCTCTCTTCAGTAATGACATCCAAAATTATCCCTGGACATTGCCCAATGCCTCTGGGGGATCAAAACCAGCCCTACTGAGACAGGGCTGGACTGGAGGCATGGCTCAGGGGTAGATCATCTGCCTAGTAAGCAAAAGGCCCTGAGTTCAAACCCCAGTACTGCCCCCTACCCCAAAAAGCAGAGAACTACTGCGTTAACCCAGAATATCCTGACTCCAGACTTTTAACTTATAAACTAAATTAGATAGTTAAGCCTCTGGGTTCTGTGAAGGCCTCAAGAAACCATCATGGGAAGCCAGGTAGTGGTGGCTCACACCTGCAATCCTAGCTACTCAGAAATCCAGAAGTGGCACTGTGGCTCAAAATGGTAGAGTGCTAGCCTTGAGCAAAGAGCTCAGGGACAGATCCCATGCTCCAAGTTCAAGCCCTATGACAGACAAAAATAAAAAGAAACCGTCATGGGTCCCCATGGCTCCACAACCCATGCCTTCATCTCCGTGCCTAGAAGGATGAGAGTGAGTCTGTGTTTAAGCCATCAAGATTGAGCCAACTAGCCAGGGCGCTGGTGGCTCACATCTGGAATCCTAGCCACTCAGGAGGCTGAGATCTGAGCATCATGGTTCAAAGCCAGCCCGGGCAGGAGAGACCATGAGACTCCTATCTCCAATAAACCACTCAAAAACCGGAAGTGGCGCTGTAGCTCAAGTGGTAGAGTTTTCGCCTTGAGCTGAAGAGCACAGGGACAGCGCCCAGGCCCAGAGTTCAAGCCCCACGATCAACCAAAAAAAAAAAGATTGAGCCAACTCCTTTCTCCTTGCAAGCTTCTGAGGCTTTGGAATCTGGGCACATCTCTGAACCTGAAGGAGCCACAGCTCTGCCACTGTCATGACCCTTTGGTCTTTCCTAGTTTGTGATCATACAAAGCACAAGTTTTAGAGACTCGATGGGCCTAAGGAACCTCTTAGCTTTCTGATCCCATTTATTCTGGCAAAGGTGATTTTGTTTCCAATGGATTGATATATTAGGGAAAGATCAGAACATAATATGGACTTTGTGAATGTTTTTGTTCTTTCATCCATGAGAATGGCATAAAAAATTGTGCCCCACTCCAAGGAGCATCACAGGAAATACACAACATGCACATATATGCAACCATTCAACATGCACACATGCTTCTGGTCACGTGTGTGTCAAGAGCCACACCATCCAGCCTGCAGTGCTAGCTTCCTCTTTCCACCCTTCACAGGAGCTCTTGAGCTACAGCCCTTCTGATGTCCACGGCATGGCCAACCTCAGCCTTCCCAAGGTTATGTGACATAGTTATTGCTACATCCATGCATTTCGTAACCATTTAACACATGCAACATGTGTAAAAGTACTGTATTTGTATTAGGTTTCCTTCCCTTTGTTATACTATATTCCTGATAAAGTTTTTTTTAGTATTACATGCCTAACCCCATTTTCCCCCTAAGTCCTGCAGTCTCGATGCTCATTCTGTACATATCCTGGAGCATATGTGTCATGTTATAGCCCCAGGGTCCTGTGGCTGTAGAAAAGCCAAGCCAAGCCCTGCTCTTCTGGCTCCCCCCCCTTTGAGTGAAGCTTCAGACAGAGCCCAGGCCGTAGTGTCCCCTAGAGGTTTCTCCACCTTCTTAGGCTGCACTGGCTCCCTGCTAACACTTTGAGATTTCAAAGCTCCCTGTCCACTTGCTTCTCAATCTGTTCACCACAGCTCATTGGCCTCATGTATCTACCTGATCTGCCTCCATTGGAAAGAGTTCTTTAAGATTGGATACAACGTCTTCATTGTCATCTTGTTCTCCCAAGTCTGGCCATAGTACAGATTATCTGTCCCCACCTGTACAGCTACTCACCCACTCCGAGTTACCAGGCACTGGCGGAGCCCCAGTTTCCGGAAGATGTCTACCACCGTCTCCATGGGTGTGTGGTCTGTCACTGTGAAAGGGCTCAGGTTCAGGATGCGCCGGAGTTTCAGGGGGTGGGGGCTGTTGGCCGGAAGCTCAGGGGGCTCCTCTGTGAAGTACATGATGGAATTGCTCACAATGCCCTCCTGCCTCTGTCTGGCATTCTCTAGGATGAGTGGGGAGGAGAATAGGAACAATTAACCGTGCAAAAATCTTCTTCACATTTCCCATATTCCCGCACAGGATCCAAGAATCCCACAGGAAAGAGGTCCCGGGGGAAAAGGGCACATTCAAAATGAGGGCTTCAGCCAGACATCTGTGAAACTGGCATGTCTCTTAAGCAGCTATTGTGGGTGGGCTCCTGCAGTGACCAAACCCTCCGCTGCCAATGTCTTACAAGATGAACCCAACCAGCAGGCTCCTTTGGGGATATTCACTCCTTCCCTCTGTACTCCAGAGCACCCCAAACCGCCTACCACCATCCGTCCTTGCTTTATAAATACATCTACACCTCATCACACAGTGAAGTTGATCATAACAAGAAACCTCATTTAGCTGCCCAGTGACCTTAATACATGGGGGTGCTTTTTCATTTTTTTTACAAACCAACTTAAAATTGGTCTAATTGGCATTATGAATCCAAAAAGAAATTTAAAAAAAAACAATAAGCCCAGCCCAGGCTCACAGCCCAGAAATGCAGCGCAGTCCCAAATATGAGCCTTGGGACCAAAGAATCAACTGCAGAAAAGCCTCAGTGCCTTGCCCACTGGGTCTCCTCTCTTAAACATGGGCCATTCTGTAGATTTCTTGAAGAAAGATAGTAAAACTATTATGGTAGCAATTAGTCATTTGTGTCTGTAGGCAAGGCCATGTGAAGCTGAATAAAAGTAGGGTAACAGGAATTCATTAGAAATACAGCCTAATGCAGTGCGAGAAACCCAGGCTATTTTAAGTCACACATGAAATAAATCCATCGGTCTCAAGATATTTCTCCAAGGCGATTTTCCTTCTGTTGGAATTTTAATCTTTCTTTTGGTTCATGGGAAAAGGTTAGGAAAAATGTACAGCAGGGCCTGCTTGAAAATGAATCCTGATTTCTCTAACAACTGTCCTCACCATCTCCAAGACTGCTACTCACCTATATTGTTCTTTGAAAAATGCAAGTCTAAATGCCTCCCTCCTCTAAGGATACTTAGTGCAATCGAGTGCTGGAATGGAAAACTGGCCATGTTTGGGGTCAGGCTGAGTCTGCAAAGGGGTCTCTGTTGAAAAGAAGAGCAGAGACCTGCTAGGCAAATGCCTGTCTATTATATGGGTGAGGTTCAATCTTGTTGCATCAAATGGGATATGATTCAACCACAAATACCAGATGATACTGACACACAACACACTCTCAGATGCAGAGCCCAAATGGTTCACGCTGCCAGCTATACATCATTTACTTCTCTCCCACACCACGACACTGCTTTCCTTAAGCACTAAGGGCAGAGAGGCAATATTCAGCACATACTTATTTGCTCATTTCTACAGAGCAATTGATTCTTATAAAGTCCCACATAACAGGATTGCCATCTACTTCAATAATTAGATTGAACATCAGGATTGGATCAAGCCACAAAAGAAACCCCAATCAAGAACTGGTCACATGGATTTGCCAAATGCCTTAATTTGAAAAGCAAATGGAACTTAGTGAACCATTTACCAAGTTGCTGAGTGAAACAAGTTCCTATTTCCTCTGAATCTGCTGCCTGGGTTAGAAGCCCTGATTCTAACAGCTATTCACTCAATAAACTCCTACTCACCAATGCATCCCCGGCGCTAGGACAATGTAGACACAAAACAGACATTTGTCACAAGCACACATGGGCAAATGGATGAGTTAAACAAATGTCCCTCTATCTAGTACTACCTGTCATGTAGAACAGAGCCTATTTCACAGAGAAGGTTATTGGGAAGGAAAACCCATCAGCTGTAATTCTAGGTCCTCAGGAGACTGAGATCTGGAGGGAAGACCAAGGTGCAAAGCCAGCCAGGGCAGAAAAATCCACAAGACTTAATCTCGAATTAACCAGCAAAATGCCAGACTGGAAGCATGGCTCAAGTGGTACAGTGACAGCTGTGAGTAAGAAAGCTGAGCAAGAGTACAAGGCTCTGAGTTCAAGACATATTACACACACACACACACACACACACACACACACACACACACACACAAATGCTTCCATCAATAACACAGATATCGTTAATGAGAAAGGAATTGGAAGCAACCACCATAGTGGTTACAAAGATGATATGATTTATAAAGACTCTATAGAAGAAAAAGCAGATTATTTTTATGTTGTTGTCTATGAACATAGGAAGAAACCATTCTGCACATATATCTCCAAATATTTTAACATTTCCAGCAGAAAGGAGTTAACACCACTGTTCTCCATGACCTATTCCAATAATTATCAGCCCTCCCAGACAGAAACAGTCTTTATTCCTACATAGCTCATCTGACACATCTGACACTTCTCTTCTGCTTCAGACCTGGATGATCCCTTTCTGCAAGCAAGCATCTTCCACATGTGAGAGAATCATTATTAAGTCATCCAGCAGATGAAACAAAACAAAACAAAACAAAACTGAGCATTCCCTTAACTTGTCCCCATAACTCTAACTTTCCATCCCTTTAATCATCTTTGTGGCTTCCCACTGAGTCTTCTCTGAACCCTTACTTGCCTAATTGTAAGAGGCAAAACTATAAGAGGCTGAACCCTGCTGAGTACAAAAAGGGCCTCATCTTTGAGAAAACCAAAAAGAGGTAAAAGCCCATCTACCCGGAATTGAACAGGGGTCACCCACAGCCCCACATGGTAACAATCTGAGATGGGAGAGTGGGCCTTTTGGCCAGGTGGTGCCAAGTATCACTCTTTACAAAGACAATGAACGAGCTCTGCTTCAGCATTCCAGAGCTGGATTAAAAATAACAAAGCCCTTTCAGCTCCATATGAGCAGCTGCTACAATTTTAAACATGACATGTAAGAAAGAAATCCTTATTTTCCTTATTTACCATTCTTTTAAATAATTCTTTTGAGTCAATCCTGCAATAATCTTTTGCTTCTGATTGCTCTAAAAGTGAACCCAACACAGAATAGTTTTTTTTTAGCGAGATGCTTAATATTATATTTCTATGTTCATACAAGGACATAGAATTACTCAAGTACAAGTCGTGAACTTTCCCAGCAGAATCCAGAGGCTCTTCTATCTCCCTAGATCAGAAAAACAGCTTGTCTGATTCCTTTGAGCCAAACACCCCTCACCTTTCCACAAACCGTGTAAATAACAGTTTCTATACTATTATCGGCCTGACTGAAAGCAGAGAGGTATGATTTACACCGCGTGGTGCCTCTTCAGACATTCCAAACATAGCTTCTGAGAGAGTACTTGCTTACAAAGCTTAAATTTCTTCTCTAACCGGTTGATGCCAATTACTGCTTCCCACTTGATTACAGTAATGGATTTGGACAAAATTAGTAAGCTGTCTCTTCACAGGTGTGCTTGAGCTACACAATAGGTAATGGATTCTGTGACATTTATTATTTTTGTTTCTGAATTTCAACGTTGCTTAAAAGATTTTAGGGATTCAATAGTTTTTAAGGCTGTTGATTACATTATTTTAAAACAAACCCAGCCCTACTTAAACAACTTTTTAAGAATCCATTTGTAAGGTGCTAATTACCCTAAAGACACCAACCTGTTCTGCAACAGGTCCTATAATAGAGAGAAACAGCACTGAGCATGCAAGCACAAACTTGCTATGCTGTCTAAACATAAATCAATCTTTGCTTTGAGGAGCTAAACATGAAAATTAGAGAATACAGCTTATCTAAACTAATTTTTGTAAAGCCATTGAGGAAGATATTTTGAAGTTTGTTTTTTTTTTAAAAAAAACAACTATTTAGTGCTGGGCACCAGTGGCTCATGCCTGTCATCCTAACTACTCAGGCTGAGATCTGAGGATCAAGGTTCAAAGCCAGCCGAGACAGGAAAGTCCATGAGACGCTGATCGCCAATGAAGCATCAGAAAAACAGAAGTGGCGCTGTGACTCAAGTGGGTAGAGCGCTTGCCTTGAACTGAAAAGCTGAGGGACAGTGTCCAGGCCCAGAGTTCAAGCCCCACGACCGACAAAAAAAAAAAAAACGATTTAGCATAGGAAGAGGTGGTCAAAATGGAAGTGTCCTAGTGTCTTAGAAATAGGAAGGGCAGAAAGAAGAAACAGTTGCCTGTTCTCAGTGGGACAACTGGCAGTCATACCATGGAAAGAAAATCCCATGACACATTACGGGAATATTCTAGAAGGTATAATGGAGCGTGACAGTGTCATGTGAATATGTGAGCCATGCCATGGACCTGTCTCCCATGCAACACAGGCATGGGCCAAAAACAGAGCTGCTCATTCATGCATGTGGGCCTCTATCCAGTGGGATGGACATATCACACGGTGAAGCGAAGACTTGTGCAGAGGCCAGCAAGGTATGCCAGCAGACAACTGGCCACCTAAGTGGTTGGTTCGACTGCCTGAGGGTCCATCCCTGAGACTAGCTGTACAAGAACAACTCCCCTGCCCCCTGCCCCCTCTACCTGCTCAGCAAAACGCAGCCACGTGCCTCCTCACGGGAGTAGTGCCTGCACAGGTGGCCAGGACTTTCGAGCCAAGAAATGTCCACTCCAAGATCCGGATTTAAATCTTTGTTCTTCACAGTAGGACCAGAGGGAAGGGACCGCTCAGGAGGAATGCAGAGTCTCAGGCCATCCCCAGGCCTACTGGAGCAGAATCTGCATTTTGACCCGACCCCACGGACAAATTTGCCTCAAAGTGTGAGGGTCCCCGGCTTAGTGAACATTCTCTTGAATCCCTGGGATAAATCGAGGGGTACAAAAGTGACCATTTGTCTCACAGTAAAAAGTGAGCTTTCCCTGCCCTTCCTTACTGATTGCCAGGATCAGCTCCCTCCTCTGAGCAAACCCGATGAGGCGCTCCGAGTCTCTGGAAACCACCACAGGGAAGCCGTTGTAGTCTGTCTCCTTGATGAGCGTCTCCACGTCCTCCACGGTCATGCTGTCCTGGGTGAGGACGGACAGTGGCAGCTCTCCTCGCCGAGGCCGCATCACATCCGTAGCCAGGGTTCGGTGTGTGAATTCATCCTTCACATCCAGAAACGGATAACCATTCAGGTGGATGTGGGCCTCATAGATGCCTTCTTTTCCAAAGGCGTCAGCCACCCACTTGCTGGTCACAGCTGCTGCCATCAGGGGCACAATGTACTCCAGACCGCCTGTCAATTCAAACATGATCACCACCAGGGACACGGTCATCCTGGTCACGCCTCCTGCAATGAAAGAGGAAATGAGACTCCAAAGCTCAAGCCAAGTCATGAGGAAACAGTCTAGCTGAAGAAAGCAGCAGGCTGGCAGCCCAGAGCTGCAGCTCAATCCAGGCTAAGGAATCCTTGGAGAACAAAGGCTTGTTCCTGGGACACGCTGCCCATGCTCAGGAGGCGCCTACCTGGGGGCTTGGCTCCAAAGATGGACTGGGGTCTACGGCCCAGTCCACAGGCCTGGGGTATTTGGTGAGTGCAACCTATCTAGGTTAGGCAGGCTTACTGAATGAACAAGCAGTCCATGAACTGTAAAACCGGAGAGATTCTTAGGGAGGCTAGATGATAAGGGACCTAGCTTTGCATCTCTCAGGAGTCAGAGAGACTGAAAACGGACTCTTCGTCTAATAAGCTTAAATCAGGCTTTCTTGACTTTAGTACTAAAGGGATTTGGGGGGGTCATTCTTTGTTGTCAGGACTTGCCTATGCGCTACAGCAAGTTTAGCAGCATCCTTAGCTCTACCCATTACATACAAATGACACTCCCAGCAGTGTGTCTCACACATTGCCAAGTTGTCTTCCCAGACATTGTGAAGTTCCCCAAGGAAGCAAGTCACCCCTTGTTGAGAGGCACTATTCAAGGTAGTACAGTTGACAGATGACAGAGACTCCAGCAGCCTGCGTTCCTGAATGATTACATGGGGAAGAGTCTTCTGCTAACTCGTGGTGTGTGTGTGTGTGTGTAATATTTATATAGTGAGCAAGATCTAAGCCACTGAGACTGTAATAGCCCACTCGATACCACACTGATACCACACTGTAACTCACTATACCTGCGTGAGGGTAATGATCAAGCCCACATCTCCCTTCTTGCGTGTTCTCTAAAGCGCATCAGTACCCCACCCCCCCCCCCCCCGCCCCCCCCCCCCCGCCCCGCCCCGCCCCGCCTCCATCCCATCTGTGGAGGTACCTAGGCAGGCTGCTGCTCCCACCATAGCGTAAAGTCCCGGTGTGACACAGTCTGCTCCAGGTCTGCACCAGTTCCTAAAGATGATCCAGTCGTGGTGATGGTACGCCAGCTGCTCCACGCCGATTCCCACCATCCTGCCCGCCATGGCTCCCACTGCCATGCTGGGGATGAAGAGGCCAGAGGGGATCTTGAGGGAGGACACAGAGAAAAGCAGCCTGAGTTCCCGCTTCCCAGCCCCCAGGAAGCAGAGCCCCCCACCCTGGTTTAACTGAGCTTGCATTTGGCTTCAAAGGAGGTGCAGCCCCTCAAAACAGGTCAGCTGCCCAGGAAAAGGTAGAACAAGTGATTTGACCTGCTCCGCCAGTGGCCTCCACTATGACTAGCGAGAATGCAGTGTGACACGTTCATTTCCTCTCCTTCAAAAGCTGCCCAGCTTGCCTGCTGGGGACAGAAGAATGATAAACCCTGCTGCACAGTGCATTCAAAAGGAACATCTTCACCAGAACGCTCGCCACCTCCTCACTCCCCGTGCTGCGCCGCTCAGATTGCCTCGGAAAATTAAATGTCAAGCCACAGCATGAAAGTCGAAAAGAAGGGGCCTGTGACTGCTCCCAGGTAAAAATAAAGATGCTGAATGCATCGCTGCAGCTGGCCTGCCAAAGCTGTCAAAGGCTGGCTGCCCTCTTGCAAGGAGAGTGGCTGCATGCCTGTCAGAGAGAGAGAGAGAGAGAGAGAGAGAGATGGAGCCACGGGGGACCACTCCCCCCAATTTCCTAATAAAGCTCGCTCCCCCAAAGTATCCTGAATATTCCCCAGCTGGGTGAGGGGTAGCAAGAACACAAGACTATATAACCAAAGACATACACATGTGAGCTGCATGCTCTCTCCCCTGTAACTTCTCAGCCAGCACTGAAGGGTACTTCTAGCATGTTCCTCTGATATAAAAACACATCTCTGCTGTAGGAACTGATGGATAAGCTGGTTAATGAAGTCCACCCAGCCTTGTTCTTAAGAGACAAATTTCAGTTGTGCTTTGGGAAATTAGCATTTCTTAGAGCTTTTAAAAAGAGGCAATTCAGAGAAATGCTGCCCAGAAAGCAACAGCACTAGATTAGAACAGGGGGCTTGGGGAGGGGAGCTCTGCTTCTGGTCCTGGGTGCTGATTACATCACTACGTGCGTTTTGTGAAGGTCAAATGCTGTACACATCTCCATAAGAATGATATATTTTAATAACATGTTTAAAAATTGGTAATAATGACACTATTCAAGGTAGTCAAAAGGTAGAAACAATCCAAATGTCTATCATAGGATGAGTGGATAAATAAAATGTGAGACATGCTTAGGATACAATGAATGCTGTAGCATGGAGAAACCTTGAAAAGACGATACTCAGTGGAGGACGCCAGACACCGAAGGCCACTTGGTCCATTCCATTTATATGAAATGATCAAAAACAGGCCAATCTATAGACAGAGAGAGTGCATACGAGTGGCTGCCAGGGCTGGGGGAACAAGGAGTCACAAATAGTCTCCTCTGAGACAAGGAAAATGTACTGAAGCTGCATAGAGATGCTGACTGCTCCACTTTGTGAATGTACTTCATGCCAATGAACTGGACAATTCGAAATGTTCAGTTTGGCTAGGCACAGGGGCAGACACCTGTCATCCCAGCAGTCAGGAGGCTGAAGTATGAAGAATACAAATTCCAGGTCAGCCTGTCTCAAAAACAAACAAAAAACAATAACAACTCAGTGCTGGAGTTCATAAAAAGAAAGCTCTTTAGGAAAAGCTCTCTAAGTATGCCTGAGCTGATTGAAGACAGTGTCTCCACTGGTTTTAGTAACACAAGTGGGAGCATGTGCTGCCCCCTGCAGGCTCTCCATGACACTGGCCATCACAGCAGGACGGATACAAAGAGCCTTTGCCATGGCCCCAGGCACACGAAGGCCAGAGACGTGCTCATTCCCAGCTCTCCTGGTGCTGGCAGGGTATGCAGGGTGCCACTGTACTGTCTCCAACCTCCGATGAGTTTACATGTGTCTCTCCCAGAGCCATTTGCTCTTCAAGGGCAGCATTCTGTGGGGGGGGGGGAAGTGGGGAGGAAGAGGGGAAGGGGGCGCTCTGTGTTCCTTGGACTCTGCACAGTACTCAGGATGAAGCCAATGCTCAAGGGATGTTCGCTCGTCTAACTGGGGCCAATCATGGGCTTCACCACCTGCCATCACCTCGGCAGCAGGGAAACCTGCATTCACCGCCTGGTCTGCACGCACACTTCTGTCTCCCACAATCTGTAGGTCTCACCAAGCCACCAAGGGCCTCTAAGCCTTGGCGGTGTCCTCCATGGGAACATGGGATTCAATCGCTACTTCATACTAAGAGAATTGTTCCCTGTTGATGAAAAGAATGTCAAGCTGAGCGCTGGTGGCTCATATCTAGCTAGTACTTTTAGCTACTCAGGAGGTTGAGATCTGAGAATCCCAGTTCAGAGTCAACCTGGGCAGGAAAATCTGTGAGACTCTGATCTCCAATGAATCACCAGAAAGCAGCAAGTAGCGCTGTGGCCTAAGTGGTAGAGCGCTAGCCTTGAGTAGAAGAGCTCAGCGACAGCATCCAGGTCCCGAGTTCAAGCCCCATGACCAACCAAGTAAAAGAAAAAGGAAAAAAGAAAAGAAGGTCAAATATATGAGGACAATGAAGAAAGGCCACTTCCCCTTTCCCCTGAAATCACAATCTTATTCTGGAGACGAGGGTGCTGTCCCCAGCAAAGTCACACTTTTCCTATCTTCCTCCCCCCGCCACTTACCTTCATGCCAAAGGTGAAGATCGTAATGACGATCTTGAAGATGAGTGCCAGGGCCAGCTGCCACATAGCCGTGTAAACGCCGACCCCGGCCGGCCGGTCTGGGATGTCATCCACAGGCCGGGTCATGTTGGGGTCGTTGATGTAGTCACAGAGCTGGGAGGACTCAAGGGCCCCACAGTCATTGAACAGCTCCGAAATGAGCTCGCTGGTGCTCTGGCGCGTGTAGGGGTTGGGGTAAGCAATGATGGCGGTGATGGCCGTCACCACGATCACCTCCAGTACTGGGTACTTTCCCAGCCTGGTAGTTTTGCGCCTCCTGCACCAGGCAATGTTGCAGCGGGTGAAGAGGGTGCCCCACAAGCCTCCAAAAACTCCAAGCAGGATGAAGGGGAACAATTCGGCCATGTACCAGGGTGTGTGGTATTCCACATAGAAGAGAACCAGGCGGCTGTTCCCGAAGGGGTTGATGGATCGCAGTGTGAAGGCCGCCACAAGGGCGGCGAAAAATGACCTCCACAAAGTCTTCAAGGGAAAGTAGTAACTGACCTGGGATGAATAAGGGGAGAGCCAGAAATTGAATGCAAAGAGAGCTGAGGAGAGTCTCACCCCTTGGGTTGGCAGCCACCTTCTGGTGCTTGGCATAAAAGACACAATCCAAGATCACTGTCCAGCGAGTGATGAGCGGACGGCACTCACTTCACCAGGCTAGGTTTTGTTATGACCAAAATGCATCAGCAAAGCTACTTAAAGCAGCTTAGGTGTAAAAGTGCAATGGATACTAATCAAGGTGGGTTGGAGCTACATTTATTTTTGTGCCAGTCCTGGGCTTTGAACTTCAGGCTTGGGCTCTGTCCCTGAGCTTCTTTTGCTCAAGGCTAGTGCTCTACCACTGGTAGTTTACTGGAGCCTCACAGACTTTCCTGCCTGGGCTGGCTTCAAACAGTGATCCTCAGATCTCAGCCTCCCGAGTAGCTAGGATTACAGGTGTGAGTCACCAGTGCCTGGCTTGAGCTACATTTTTTTTAGAGAATTGAAAGGCTGGAGGTGTACCTCTTATGAAGAACCTGGGCTTAGTATGCCCAAGGCCCTGGATTCAATCCCCAACACCAAAAGAAAGGAAAGAAAAAAAGTGGGTTTTCTTGATACTGCTGATAGCACAGTGGTCCTCCTAAAAGTAGCTAAACCTCTGAATTTAATTGTCTGGACAACAAAATAGATAAAGGTTTGGAAAACCATGACCCACAGATTGTGTTCCAGAAAATACATTTATACGCTACATGAACTATGAAGATGTTTTTAAGATTTTTAATAGTTGGAAAAGAAAAAAAAAACTACTTGTGCCATGAAATATTTCTCCAAAAGAAGAACAATTGTGTGACAATTTTGTGGTAATGACATGAAATTCAAATTTCAGAGTCTAAAGGTGAGCAGCCACGTTCGTGGACAGCCGCTTGCCCGGCCCGTGCCCTCCGCAGTGGCAGAGTGCATGGACACAGCGGACACTGCACAACCTCAGAAGCCTACACTAGTTATTATCCAGCCTTTTCCAGAAAACGTTTGCCAACCCTGGTAAGAGCTGTTTAGGTCCCCAAACCAAACTGGAAGCTAAGTTGGCTATAAAGAAAATACTGTTAATCTTTCCAGAAGTTTATATTGGCAGTTTTTAAACAATACTTGAAATCATACTTAATAGGAGAAATAGTAGCTTCTTGCTTAATTGCAGGAGCCTTATTCAATCCTTCTGTGAGTTAATCCCAACCACCCGCATATTCCATAGTTAAAACTGCGCATGCCCACACCGCCCCTCTCACCTCCTCTAGACTGAAGAGCACACCGCCAATGGGAGCACCAAAGGCCACTGAGACTCCAGCAGCAGCAGCAGCTGAAAGCACCTAAAGGAAAGAAGTTGTAAGTCAAGTCCTGGGCCTTCTGCAAAGGGGAGACAGCGTGAGTCTCTGAGAAGCAGCCACTGCGGGCAGGAGCTGCTGGGCTCACCTCCCGCCTCTTGCCCTCATTCTTGCTGTACTTGGAGAAAAGGCTGCTGAAGAAGTTGCCACAGCAACAAGCCACATGCACCAGCGGTCCTTCCTTCCCAAGGCTCAGGCCAGAGGACACGACGAGCACCAAGGTGACCGTCTTGATGAGCAAGGTCCACTTCCCCAGGTAGCCTCGGATGATGAAGCCACTCAGAATGGTCTTTATCTGAAGCCGAAAACGGAGAGCAAGGGGGAATAAACGGCTTCAGCCCATGACTAGGAACAGGGTTTCCCTCTGAGCTAGAATCGTTAAGTCACATAGAGGACAGACTATTTTCATTTATGATTTCTCTATAATCTAATGCCAAGAGAAATGTGTATTCATATAGCCCTCTTACCCATAGAGATATGTTCTAAGACCCCCAATGTACAACTGAAACCTCAACAAGATGTGTGTGTGTGTGTGTGTGTGTGTGTGTGTGTGTGTGTAACATTACTATGGTTTTTTTTCCTATGCATGCATGCCTATGATAAACTTTAACTCAAAAATTAGATCAGAGCTGGGCACTGGTGGCTCACGCCTGTCATCCTAGCTACTCAGGAGGCTGAGATCTGAGGATCGTGGTTCAAAGCCAGCCCGGGCCAGAAAGTCCATGAGACTCTTATCTCCAATGAACCACCAGAAAGTCACAAGGAGAGCTGTGGCTTAAAAGGGAAGAGTATTAGCCTTGAGCAAAAATCTCAGGGACAGAGCCCAGGCTCTGAGTTCAAGACCCACGACCAACTAAAAAAAAATTAGATCAGTACAAGATTAGCAACAATAGCTATCAATAAAATAGAATAAACCTAACAATCAGGAGACATTTTCTGTTCATTTGTTCTACTCGTGCGTTTCATAGCTATTCCGTTTTACCTGTGCTATGGCTACAACGTTTGCAGCTTGAGGCATAAAGGCAAAACTATTGTGAAATAATTTTTCCCACATGATTTCATGGAAACCTCAGCATACAATGATTTTTCTTTTCCTAAGTCAAGAACTTTCATCTTTTCACTTAAAGGACACAATTTATAGCTTCTTTTTGGCATGTGTAAATTGCCAATGTCACCATGCTTGGACTTCTGAGGACATTATTAAGTACCGTAAGGGAGACTGGAACACAACTACTACGATACTATGACTGGTGATCTGATCATCAAGACACCCACTAAGTGACTCATGGGTGAGTAGCAAAGACAGCATAGTTATGCTGGATAGAAACATGATTCATGTCATCCCAAGTAGGATGGAGCAGAAAGACAAGAGATTTTATGATGCTATTCAGGACAGTATGCAATTTGCTTTAAACTTTGCTGGCCATTTGAAAATATACTTAAGACAATGCTGGAAAAGAAAGATGCCCAATATTCTAACTGCATATGTTTGACAGGATGTTTGAATCCATGATGATCTCTTCTCTGCTATCACATCCTACCCTCTTGTATTGCAAAGGACTTTTGACTACCAAAAGAATTACCTCGCCCCAGTTTCAGACTTGGTCCATTTTGTAAATGACAAATAATGACTGTCTTCCTACCAGTGCACTTGAATCTTTACCTAATGCATTTAGAATTCAACTGGATGCCCATCTCAGTGACCAATTAACTGTGTATACTGAAGTCTACTCCCACAAATGATATTCTTTTGAATAGGGGTCTCACAAATAGCTAAATAACTTTTCTACCTCCACTTGTCCATGTGTAAATTGCTGGCCTAACAAGTTACAAACCTCACATCATAAATCAGACTCTGAGCCAATGAAAATCCTAGTCAATATCTATTATCACATTGTGTAACACCTAAAGGAGCAATATCATCTTTTCTCAGTGTCAATTATATAACTTCAAAATGCCTTCTTAAAAGTTCTCAAATAGCCGGGTGCCAGTGGTTCACACCTGTAATCCTAGCTACTCAGGAGGCTGAGATCTAGGGTTGTGGTTAGAAGCCAGCCCAGGGTAAGCAAGTCTGTGAGACTCTTATCTATAACTAGCCACCAGAAAACCAGAAGTAGAGCTGTGGCTCAAAGCAGAAGAGCACTAGCCTTGAGCAAAAAATAAGTCAGGGACAGTGCCCAGGCCCCAAGTTCAAGCCCCACGACTAACAAAAACAGAAAAAGTTTCCAATTATCTAGTTCAACCCTTCTCAACTGTGGTGCTCACCAGAATCAGGTGGTGACTTGGAAAATACTGAGGTCTGACTCTCCTCAACAGATGTGCTAATCAGTCTAAGAAACATCTGAATTTCACTGTTTCCCGCGTGACTCTAAGATGAATACTCAAGATATTCCTCATTCCTCAATGTTTAAGGGACAGTCCTGAAACACTCTGTTCTCTCACTAACTCCTTCTATCGTGCATCATACCAACTTTAGGGATTTGGGAAGGGTGGCGAGGTGAGCTAACCTTCAAATTTTAAAGCACTACGCTCCAGGAAATATGGCTAAGAGATCCTCTCAACTCAAGAGAGAAAGAAGGTGAGGAGAGGGAGAAAGGAGAGAACACTGAGCAAGTCGGGGGGGGGGGGCTCCTCAAAAAATAAAATAACTCTAGGAGCTCCTTCTTTTTTATTTTAGTACTTTTACAATGTTTATTAGCAACAATTAATTGTACAAAGGGACCTCATTGTAGTATTTATAACATGCATATAATGTACTTTGATCAAATTCACTTCATATATATTACTCGTTATTAAGGAGCCCCTTTCATAGAATAATGAAAGGTCTTGTAGCAGTAATCCATATTTCCTGAACTAATGGCAGGAGTACTAGCAGCGGTTACACTGGTCTATAACTAGTGGTAGTTGGCCTAATTGAGCTTGGGCTCTGGGGACCTCAGATCCCTTTATTTAAGGGATGTTTTATTATGCCTGCCACAATCCTGCCCTTTTGTGTTGCCTTGAATAAAATTATCTATAATTTTTTGTCAGTTAGTTAATGTGGATTTAGACCCCAGGGTATAGTTTAAAAGCGTAATACATACCATTTAGAAAATTACAAGAATCTAAATTATCTGAGCCTTTGCCAGCCATGACATGTAGTGAAATGAACAATATAATAGGTATTTTGTAATTCTCTAAAATGATTTTATGAAATTGTCATGATCAAATTAGGAAGTAAGGAAGGCAGATTCATTCCCGGTAGATGCCAAAATTCAATTGCTTTCTTTAATTTGAATTCATAGAGACCAAAGCAATCAGAGCCTTAACAAAATGTGTGGCTGTGGATTTGGATGATGCAACCCTTAAAACCAGAACTCTTGGTGGTTGATAAATATCTGTATGGGTGCTGGTATTTTGTAAGAAACAGAAAGTCAATGCAGAGGAAGTGGCGCTGTGGCTCAAGTGGTAAAGCTCTAGACTCAAGCTGAAGAGCTGAGGGACAACACCCAGGCCCACAGTTCAAGGCCCACAACCACCACCACCACCAACAACAATAAAAAGAATACTGACTCAAAAAGAAAACCAATGCAGAATAAGTTCCCAGAGGAAGTGAGTTCTTAGATACCTGATCATGGGTCTATTAATGAGGCAAACAGGAGTAGAAAGTGGAACAGCCAAGTTTAAGAAACTCTGAGGGCTACCTTTAAAATATGACTTATAGAACCTAGGCTATGCATTTATTATACAATTTTTTTCCTCTAAATTTGCATTTAAAAATACTTTCAAAGGTATTTCCATTCTAAATATTACACATTTTAGATGGAAATGCTCGGGAGAATGAACAGTTAAAGATGTACTTTGGGTTGGGGAGGTAGCTCAATGGTAGAGTGCTTGCCTAGCATGTGTGAGGGCCCTGAGTTCCATCCCCAGGTCAGTTAAACAACTAAATGTAGCTAAACACATTGCATTCAAAGGCCATTCCTCTTGGTGGTGGTGGTGGTGGTTGTGGGGCTTAAACTTAGGGCCTGGGCACTGTCCTTGAGCAGTTTTGCACTCCAGGCAAGTGCTCTACCACTTTGAGCCACAGTGCCACTTTTGGTTTTCCTGGTGGTTTATTGGAGATAAGAGTTTCACAGACTTTCCTGCCTGGGCTGGCTTTGAACCGCGATCCCCAGATCTCAGTTTCCTGAGTAGCTAGGATGACAGGCGTGAGCCACTGGCTTGAATCTTTTCCTTTATAAATAAATAATTCTCTTACATACTTCTATATAGTTTAAAAATGTCAATAAAACAAGCCCCCATGAACTATCCCAAGCTTAAGAAATGGAAGCGGGGATGCTTCTAAAAGCCAGGTGTTCGTCTCAGCTCTGCCTCCCAGCCCACACTCTTTCCAAGTATTTCTTTGCCTTATTGATCATATGATGGGTTCTTTAGTTTGGCTGTTTGTAGATGTTAACATATTTATGACTTCCTTCAATGGACATCACATGCTTGAGTTTGGTCCATGTGTTCCTTATCCTTTTGTCACATAAGGAACTTAAATGATCAGCTCAGCATTTGACCCCCTTTGAGTTCAGCTGTCACCAATACAGATGTCTACTTTGGACAAGAAGTCCAAGCAGCTTCTCAAAGACATGTGTGAGTTCCTTGTCTACCTATATGATCACCAGCTGAGCCATGTATCTCTGCTTCTTCAGGTGGAAGAGCCTTTTATTGCTGCTGCTGCAGATTTCCTAACAGTTGCCCAATGAACATCTCCTTATTTTGGGAAAGACTTAAGTCAAAAATCTCTATTAAAAAAAAATCTCTATTAAGGGCTGGGAATGTGGCCTAGTGGTAGCATGCATGAAGCCCTCGGTTCGATTCCTCAGTACCACATAAACAGAAAAAAACAGAAGTAGCACTGTGGCTTAAGTGGTAGAGCGCTAGCCTTGAGCTGAAGAGCTGAGGGACAGTGCCTAGAGCCTGAGTTCAAGCCCCAGGACTGGCAAAATAAAAATTCTACTAATGTTTTGCACCAGTGGCTCATGCCTATAATCCTGGATATTGAGATCTGAAGATCGAAGTTGAAAGTCAGCTCAAGCAGAAAAGTCTGTGAGATTCTCATCTCCAACTAACAAACAAAAGCCAGAGATGAAGGTATGACAAAAGTGGTATAGTGCCAGCCCTGAGCACTAAGCTAAGGAGGAATACCCAGGCATACCAAAAGGAAATGCCTACTAGTGGGCAGTGGGATTATAAACTGGCTTCCAATAATGAGAGATCCATTTTCTGCCTAGTGTACCTTACTTCTGGTACCAAATAAAATACAGCCAGTTCTGCTATAACATTTGTTTCAAAACTGCAAATTGGATCCAATCCTGTTCATACATTAGGGAAGAATTTAAACATGATGTCAGTTTTGTGTCTACTTATGCACAATTACCTCTGGGAGAAATACAAGGTGAATGCAGAAAATTACATCCAGTTGAACGGAGCCATGCAGGAAAACATAAAACACACATAGACTAGGTCACATGTGTGCTGAGAGGCTGTGGACCTCTATACTCGCTGTCATGGCTTCCTGCTGATTTCAGATCAGCCTCCTTCCTACCTTCACGGTAACTCAGACCACAGCTGACCTTCCACCCACTTTCACAAGCCAACACCAAGCAGTCTCAACAGGTGACATGTTGATTGTGGTATTCACATGTCTTAGCCATGAAACTATGCTGATGTTTTTTTAGACTCTTGTCTTTTCCCCTTGTATCACTGAGGAAGTTATTGCGCATCGTGACTGGCTGACTCATCTTCCCCACAAGCCCTGTGATATTGAGTGTGCCATTTTTCATAGGGCCTTTTCAGAGTGTATGTGTCCCCTTAGAGAAGGTCAGTCTTACCGAGGCAATAGGATGGCGATGCAGTTTGATTTTTGGATTCCTGAAACAACACATTAAAAAGAAGCCACCAGAAAACAGAGGCAGAGCTCAAGTGGTAGAACACCAGACTTGAGTGAAAACAGCCAAGCAAGGCTGCAAGGCTCTGAGTTCAAACTCTAGTTATTGTTACAAGAAGAAAATTCAGTGTGACATATTAATACTTTTTTTCTGCCTTTCCTGAAACAAGATCCCCTAGGTTTCAAGTTCTGTCTTGGGCGTGCCCTTTGACCCATAAGATCACTTCCCCCACACTGCTGACATGAAAGTGCTGAAAAAAATACAACAACTCTAAATGTCAAAGAGTATATTCTCGGTGCATTTTTTTGTGCTGGTCCTGGGGCTTGGACTCAGGCCTGGGCACTGTCCCTGAGCTTTTTGCTCAGAACTAGCTGTGGTAGACTAGCTGTCTACCACTTGAGCCACAGAGCCACTTCTGGCATTTTGAGATTAATTGCTGATAAGAGTTTCATGGACTTTCCTGTCTGGGCTGGCTTCAAACCATGATCCCCAGATCTCAGCCTATTGAGTAGCTAGGATTACAGGAGGGAGCTACTGGCTCCTGGCCACCAGTGCATTTTTTGAAGACTGGTACTACTTTGTCGCCAGAAAAACAAGACATGGCAAAGGAAGGTGATCATCAGTGAAGTGCCTCAACAGCAATCCTCATTAATGTCTTTTTGCCAGTACATCGGCGATACAGCCATGAGAGATTCTAGTACCACATCTAAGGGAGGGATCATAATTTCTGTTCCCATTGGCTTTGAAAGTTAAGCTTGGTTTACAAAGAGTGGGTCTTAATCTGCTGAGAAGCAACAGTGCAAAATCCTGAATATAGAATACAGATGCAGAATCATGAAGTCAGACTTCAAGGTTCAACACACCAGCTCGACCATGGAAAAGTTCCCAAACACGTCTGTGCTTACTTACTTCCTCAACTGTTAAGGGAAGACAAAAAGTGCCTACTTCCTCGGCTAATTACGGGAATTAAATGAGCCAATTCATTCCAAATTCTTGCAACTATGCCTAGTATACTACCACTATGGAAGGAGTTGCTATTCCCACTATTGGTAGAGAAGAAATTCAGTTATAACTCACCTCCGGTATACCAGAACCACAGGCGTATGGTGCAAATACTCGAACCAAGGAGACAGCCAGAAATGCGAAGAGTAGTGCCCACAGGATATACATCAAATAATTCAGAATGTAGGCACTGGCTCCCTAAACAGCACACACAAAACAAGGCAGAACACATGAGGCATGGCAGAGCTAAACAACAACCCCCACTCCACACCTTCCATTGGGAGAACAAAGTTTTGATGGGATCAGGCAGGTTTGTCCCTGTCCTTTGCAAACAAATGGACAGTGTGGGTTTTATCAGCTATTGCTATTGCTATAGTTACTACATACAAACAGCACCAGGTGTTCCTCCAGGAGCTGTTTACAGAACTTTCCATGGGGTGAAATCTCAGCAGTAATGGAAAGCAGGAATGATGCTGGTTGTAATCATCACTTGCACTAGAGTTAATAAAAGGTGTGATGCAGAATTTCTGCCTCCAAGACTCTGGAAGATATGTTTTGTCTTGTCTGCAGTGGATGAGTGTCTCTAAGCTTTTATTATGGCCACGCCCAGACCACAGCAAGTAACTAACTGCCAGCAAGTGTCAGAACTGAGTTTGTGAAAGACTGCTCCTCAAAGTGTAGTCCTTGGACCAGCAGCATCAGCATTACCTGGGAGCTCATTAGAAGCAGAGACTCTATCCTACCCGACCCAGAGCCAAGGGCGAGGCACTAACAGTGAACAGGCATTATTAGAGGGGAGCTGCCTGATCATCTCCTTCAGAGGAATTCATTGGACCACTGAATCCAAAACATGTGATATGTGGAGAAGAGTTTTCTGAAACACACAATCTGGAATCTTTCAGGTAGAGATCTGATCCCCTAGGTGAATACCTCATTTTTCTAGGCCTCAGCTCCTTCCTACCATCTGGATTATTGGAGGAGAGGAAAGGAAAGAGAGATCAACCACAAGTCAGGCCACAGCCATGGCCACAGGTGGGCCTATTAAATACAAATCCATGTTCCTGAGAGTGCACCACAGATACATATAGTCATGTCCTGTGTGGTGAGAAATCGGACCAAAAAAGACCTTTCACCCACCTAAAAAATTTTTTCAAGCCTAAAAACAGCTTCTTGCTCTTTCCAACAGTAATTCCTTGAATCAAAGTATAAATCAAAGTATAAACTGGTTGAAAAGGCAGATGGCCACATTTTTGCATCCACCCCAAAACACAGACTGCAAGAAGGAGAGAAGAACTAAAAGATGGTACCCAGCCAGCCCACCTGTCCATTCTCATCCCCATGTAGAGAATTCCTTTTAGGAAATAATGGAGAGCACTGAGAAGGTGAGGTTTCAAGATCCCTGTCTACTTCTGAAATGTGAAGGAATAAATATTCAATTCTATTGAGAGGTTTAGAAAAATGGCAAAGTGCATTCCAAATTATCTTTGCTTGTGGTACATCAGTCATGTAGAACTTGGCAATCTAGTCCGCTCATCTAACTATCTGGTCCGTCAATAACCTCTCCATCTAGTCCTCTCATCTAACTATCTGGTCCGTCAATAACCTCTCCTAGTCATTGTGGTAACTTCAGAAAACAACGTTTCTACACAGGGCTGAAGCTGTAATTGCCATGACAGCAAGCACTCAACTTGTAGGTCCTCACAATAGCCACCATGACTGGACGTTCTTTTCTTTACAGAGGCCCAGAAACATCCTCTGTGATTCCATCAGAAAGTGTCATGGGACACAACAGACACACAATGACACACCATGAGACTCACTAGGAAAGAAGGTGGACAAACTAGAATTTGCATATACTCCATAGGGAAACACAAAATGGGGCAGTGACTTTTGAAGACACGCTATTATTTTTTTAAGTAGATATCACCTTTCCTCCTCAGTTAAAAGGTATAAAAATAAACATGATCAAAACAACCACCACTAGTTTTTTTTAAAAGCCACACTCTGAGGCTTCAAAAGATACAATGTGCCCGTGCAGCAGTGGAGGAGTACGGGCAGGAGGGGTTTCCAAGTGAAGCCTGAGTAGCAGCAGCTGTGGCAGGGCCAAGAGGCAAGCGCACCACACTGGAGCCAAGACTGTCATAAGCAGGAGAAAGCTAAATTCAGGAAGCTCCAGAAGACAAAGGCTGCCAGCCAGGAGAATCTGCCCAGCAGCCACTCACCTCTGACTGATTCACCAGCAGCTCTGACCATTTCTGCCACAAGGGACACTTATCTCTGTCCTCAAAGGTGGTCTCATTGGATGTCCAGCAGCACTGCTCATGGCTGTACCAGAAGGCAGACAGGCAGACCCCCTCCTTCAGGTCTGTCATCCAATCCACAGCAAGATCAATGACTCCAGCCAAGGTGCCTAGAAGAAGCAGACAAAGCCGCTGAGAGAAGTCAGTGCCCAGGACACAGCTCCCTGGGAGCCACATGGGGCTCTGTGGCTTCAATCAAGTAAGAAAAGTAGGTGTCTACATTCTTATCTCAAGCCGCTGGGGCCAAGGGACTTTGGGATTCATCCTGATCTAAGAGGTTTTCAAATATATCTTATTTGCTTTCGTTGTACAAAGGAACTGCCAGTCCACAGAGCAGTTTCCGAATACAGTGCCTCTGGATCAGATGTCACCCTTTCCACATTGTCACCACCCTCCTACCCCCCCCCCCTTTCCCTCACTTTAAATTATGTACTGAAATTTTGGCCACAGGGTACAGCACCCCTCGATCTGTGTCATCCCTGAAACATCTCCACCGCCACCTCTGACTCACCCCTGCCCTTATTTTCTCAATTCTGTTGTATAGACAATACATTCTTGCCTGCATTCTACCCCTTTCCCCCACTCATTCTTCTCCCCTTCTGCCCTTGCCATTTTTAATCGGGAATGTACGCCCTGAAAAAAAAAACATTGCCCCTCACCAGTGCTGGGACATCCCCAGTGACCACCCCCCGCCACCACACACACACACGACAGCAGCCTCGATTCCTTCCAGCAGATAGCAACTCAGGAAAACCTCACATAGTAGTCGTTTCTAGGTGTTTTTTTCTTTTTTTGGTTAAACTATGACCAAGGGGCTATGGGTCTTTATAAGTAAAAGATCATTATAAATGCTGACAGATCGATGTAGGACAAAAAATAGGAGTTCAGTGGGCCACAAAAGGCTGGCTTGGGTGTCTTTCCAGAATCACCCATTTTAGTCTGTTACACATACTTTCAGGTTTCCTCGTGGTTCAAACCTAGCTATGTCTTTATTACAGTATCAGTGTGATGTTACCACCCAAAGCATACACATCAGTGCTACAGCTACTTTCATGCTGTAATGGCACAATTGCATTTTGAGGTAGAAACAAATAAATACTTCCAAAAGTTACAGGTATTTATTCACTGGTCTTTTACACAAAAAGTTAGCCAACCCCAGTTTTAGAACTCTACATCATTTGACACTGCTGACCACTCCGTCCTTCTAGAGACACTTCTTCCCATGGCTTCCACATCATTTAACTCTCCTGTCTTCCTGTGTCCCCCAATAATTCCTATTCCTCTATTCATCTTCTAAAAGATATCACTTCCTCTGACTGTCGCCCTAAACCTTTTCTTTTTCCTTTTATACCATGCTCTCACTATAGCAAGTTTATTTGTATACTTCTACTTGTTACTGGGTGATAAATCTACATCTAGCTTGGCCAGACACCTCCAATGCCCACGGCAGACATCACCAATCAATTGTAACCCAATATTGGATTTACCTTCATAAGGCTTTTTACATGCCCATGGCAGACCTTACTAATTCTAAACATGACCCATTCTGGTGGACTCATTCTTAAGAACTTTTTAAAATAAAACTCCAAGCAGTCAAACCCAATGAACAATGAACAGGAATCATCAAAGGACACATGTCTAATTGCCTCTTGTGTCTACAAGGCCGTCTCTACAAAAACTCACAGTGGCCCATGCTGAAGTCAAGGATCTTGCTCTCAGCCTCGGCTCTGTTTCCAGCTGGGAGAAGGGCCCTGCATCCAGGGATTATGCCAGATAGAAAGCAGGGTAAGCAGCCCATTTCCAAGCAATCACTACATCCTTGCCACTCCAGCTCTGAAGTTCCTCTCGAGTCACTTTGTTGACTTCAATTGCCATTCAGCCCAGCCTTTCACGATGGTTTCTGGCTGGCTGCTACCAGAGACTCTTCGCTTGTCTCCCTGATCCAATGTTGCCCATTGAATGGGTTTTCTACACCGTGGTCAGAAAAGCTTTCAAAAATACAATGAGTCAGGCACTGGTAGCTCACACTTGTCATCCTAGTTACTCAGAAGACTGAGATCTGAGGATTGTGGTTATAAGCCAGCCCAGGCAGGAAAGTCTTGAGACTCTTATCTCCAATGAACCACCAAAAAGCCAGAGGTGGAGCTGTAGCTCAAGCGGTAGAACAGTAGCCTGGAACACAAAAGCTCAGAAACAGCACCCAAGCCCTGAGTTCAAGCCCTAGGACCTGCATACATACACACAAGAAGCAATGATCCAGCCTGGTGCTGGTGGCTCACATCTATAATCCTAGTTACCCAGGAGGCTGAGATCTGAGGATCATGGCTTGAAACCAGCTCAGGCAAGAAAAATCTGTGAGACTCTCATCTCCAATTAAATGTCAAAAAGCTGGAAGTGGAGCTGTGGCTGAAATGGAAGAGCACTGGCCTTCAGACAAAAGCTCAGGGACAGCTTCCAGGCCCTGGGTTCAAGCCCCAGAACCAGCGCACACAAGAAAGCAATGACCCATACCACTTCCTTCAGAAAATCCTGCCCTAATGTCCCATTGTTCTTGGGAGAATGCCTAAATCTTCAATAGATCCTGATGAGAACCCTAAACCCCATATCTCTCCAGTATTATTTTTTTTCTAGCACTAACTCCTTATATTGCTCACTCCATGTTCATAGAATGAGACACCCACTCCTCTCTGTGCTATGTCAGTAAGTACTATCCTCCCCCACCCCACTGGACAATCTCCTACTTAACTTCTAGATCTCGGCCTCCTAAAAGTTCCTCAAAAGGTTAAACACAGTTACAATAACACCAAGCAACTCCACTCCTGGGCATATACCCAAGAGATATGAAACCCTACATCCATACAAACACTCCTACACAAATGGTCATACCTGTGTTGTTCAAAATAGCCAAAAACTATCAGTGGACAGATGAATGAATAACCAAAATATGGCCCATCTATACAATGGCATAATATTTGGAAATTAAATGAGAAAGCTGAGTACTGGCGGCTCACGTGTAGCTATTCAGGAGGCTGAGATGCAGATGATCATGATTCAAAGCCAATCTGGACAGAAAAGTCCATGAGACTCCATCTCCAAAACATCTAGCAAAGGCTGAGCTAGATGCATGGCCCAAGTGATAGAATACTAGCTGAGAAAATGAACCAAACAAGCATGAGGCACCGAGTTTAAACCCAGCACTGACAAAAGAAAAGGAAAAAGAATGAAGTGTCCCATGCACTACAATAGGGATGCACTTGGAAAAGCTCTGCTGGGTGAAAGAAATCAGTCATAAAAGACCACAAGGTGTATGATTCCATTTCTAGGGAATATCCAAAACAGACCGATGGACAGAGACAGAAAACGGAGTAGGGGTGGCTCCGAGCCCTGAGGAAAGGGCGGCTGGAGGTGGGGGGGGGGACACCTTCCAAGCCAAGATTGATTATGGTGATGGCAGCACAACTCTGCGAAAACACTAAAAACCCATAAACTGTACATTTTGAATGGTTTAGTTGTATGTCATGTGAATTCTATGTCAATAAATCCATTACATACAGTCATGACACACAGCAAGGGCGGGAGGGAGACAGGCTCAGAGAGAAAAAGGGTGTGATTTTAGAGAAGTGGTCAAAGAAAGCTTCCAGTGGAAAATGATATTTGAATGAAGATCTAACAGTGATGGAGGAGTCCTGAAGATATCCAAGAATAAGACTCAATGATCACCTCAAGTCCATAACTTTTCATTCATTCATAATCATTCATTCATTCATAATTCCAGGAGTTGACGACTCAGCTTTGTTCTATGGTACAACAGCGCCACCTGGTGGCAGATTCTGCCAAATCCCTTGCAGAGGAGTTGTAAGATTGCTCTACCAAGAGAGTCCAAACAAAACAGTCATGGGGGCCGCTGAACAGGCCGTGGTTAGAACATTGGCCCCTCTCTACCAGTGAGACCAGTGAGGTAAGGGCGCAGTTCACTAGATTTCCCTCCAAGATGCACCCAGATTCAAAGACCACTTAGGCCACCTGTCTACTATTCTGCAGTTTATCTGTTGTCAGTACAGGGGGTTGTGGGGAGGGGGGCTGTCCTCGCAGTATTTCTACCCCTGGCTGCACGTGAGGATCATGGAGGGAAAGGGAAACGGTGTTTACTCGTTGCCAGAGTCCTCTCTAGAGAGACTTTAGCTGATGGCTGGGCAGCAGCAGATGTCTGGTTGTCTGGATAAATCCTCCTGAAGGAACGGATGGATAGTGCACATGTCATGAAGCAGCTGGTCAAAATCAGCTGTGCTCAACACAGTCAAACGGGGTCCCTCGTTTAGTCAATAAATATAAGCTGTGCTGTGCACCCTAGCAGGAAGCCAGAAAATCTATTCCAGGTTCCTTCATGTCCCCTATTTATGTCTCCTTCCTAAGAGCCAAGAAGAAAGATAAACTGTAAGGTTTAAAAATCCCTCCTACACAAATGCAGCAAGATTCACAGCAAACTCCCACCGTGCGCACTGTTGAAGATCTTCCAAGAAGCAGCCAGGCAAAATCAGTGGCAGAATAACTGCATCCACCGAGCCCAGTTTCCCTCTGTTGGCTGCCATTACATATTAGGGAATGTCACTGAGACAGGAAGGACAAAATGAGACATGGATAGGCAGCTATGGCGATTAGTAGACAAGGGCCTTCTCTATGAAATGCTACATGCAAGCACCTCAATTATCTCTGGATAACTAAAGATCTCCCAGAAATTTCTCTTTTTTAATAGTAAGAAAGCTTGGAAGAGCTTTATTAAGTCAACAAAAAAGCAAGCAGACAGACAAACACACAGAAGGGCAGGGGCAGAAATTTCTTTAAAAACTTTTTTTTGTACAAAATTCCATCTGTACCCAATTCATGTTCTATCTTCCTTACAGTATTTGCTATATTCTGCCATATACCATCAATTCTCTGATCAATGCTCTTTGCTTACTTGTTATATTGTTAAATGTATGGGATTTTTTTAAAGGATATCTCTTCAATGTGCTCAATTCTGGGGGGCAGGGGGGAAGAAAGGTTAGACAAAGAAAGAAGGTTCTAGGCTGGTCTAGGCTGGCCTAGAACACATGATCTTCCAGCCTCTGCCTCCTGAGTATGGGGATTATAGACATGCACAACCATACCCAGTTCAATTTTTTTTATTCTTAGACATTAATCTTCATACCCTCAGGAAATAATTGCCATGAATTTGGTTTTAAAGGGATAAGTTTGCACCTGGTGCCGGTGGCTCACGCCTGTCATCCTAGCTACTCAAGAGACTGAGATCTGAGGATCACAGTTCAAAGCCAGCCTGAGCAAGAAAGTCCATGAGACTCTTATCTCCAATTATTTACCAGAAAAACCAGAACTGACGCCATGGCTCAGGTGGTAGAGCACTAGCCTTGAGCTGAAGAGCTGAGGGACAGCGCCCAGGCCTAGAGTTCAAGCCCTACAACTGACAAGAAAAAGGGGGGGGCAAGTTTGCCCTCCAAATATTCATTTATTCTGGAAACATGTACTGCTCAGAAGATGGCAGTGACATTATAAAAGTAAAGGGCGCGCAGTCTCTGAGCTATGCAGTGTAAGGGCTGGAGAGAGTTCTCCTGGGCCTAGCTCAGATTTTGTGGGTGTCTAGTATTATTTTGGGTATTGCAGGGTACTCAACATTCTTTTTGGGGATAGCAAATGAGTAGTAACAGCCCCTCTCATGGGGTTCCCGATGAGTGAACATCAAAACCTTTCCATATGTGCTGTCCCTTACATAAGCCATTACAGTGAAATGTCAAGTGTGCTTCCGGTAAAGGCCAGGGTGGTAAGAGCGCATGTGCGCAAAGCGCCAGCCAGCATTGCACTGCAGTCACAGCTCTCAGCAAGCCACAGCCTGACCTCCTGCCTTGGGCTTATGATCGATTTTAGGCTAAATATTGGTTCTGTGGCTTGCTGTTAGACACTTCAAGTCCTAAACCCCTTGCATAGAGGTAGAAGGGAAGCACTTCACATCGCCATGTCCTCCCTGATAGTGGCATTGAGAGGCAGCGGCAGCCGTGGCTCTGCAGGGGGTGCTGTGCACCTGTGCGCATACCTGCCAGCAGCCCGATGAGCAGCATGACCACCCATCCTGACCAGGCATCCAGCAGACTCTTAATGAACTCCCAGACGGACTCCTTGCTCTTGCTGGTTATCTGGAAATGAAGCAGACACAGCCTATTTTCCAACTCAAACTGCTTCTCGTGAAACAATTTCCTCAGGAAACAAGACCGATGGAGAAAAATGAACGTCATGAAGCAGCTACATCCCCAGTCACATTATTCTTTCAGCAATGTCCCATAACGATTAAGCGGGTTTCCAAGTTTACAGAGCTCCCTCCACAAGATGCCAGCATGGTCCCCAAAGAATGAGAGCACTGGCAAATTCGTATCATTTACAAAGCATACTAAGTGTGATTTGCAGCTGTAAAATCCATCCTGAACCGAGACAGGGATCCCGCGTCACCAGTGTGAATATGAGCGATATCGTAACTTACCCACGGCTGGGCTGGTCACTGAAAAACCTATTCAACAGATTACACTTCTTAGTTTTGTTTTCAACATAACATTTTAATAACAAGAACTTTGACTCCAATAGCATGGAGTTTCCAAGCAGGTAGCTGCACGTTAGCAAACATTTCTGGAAAGGGCCAAAGTTAGGCTAAGACAGAACTCAGCTTGAAAAATTAACTAAAATGAAAAGGGGCTGGGGTCATGGTTCAAGGGGCAGAGAGCCTGCCTAGCAAGCATGACGACCTGGCTTCACACTTCAGGACTCCCTCCCTTCCCACCCACCCCCCAAAACAATATGGGAAGGAGCAAGGATGGGTGACAGCCAATCCAACTCCCTTTCCCACATGAGAGCCCCGCTTTCTGTCCTGCTCTGGAGTGAAGCTTCCCCTTGAGCATGTTCCTCCATGGTGGAGTCCGAGGGTCTCTTGTTTCTCACCAACCTTCAGGAAATAACAGGACAGTCACACTCCCCAGTCACTTGTCACCCTCCTCTGATGTCACTTTTTGGGGGTCACCCATGGTCCCCACCTTGTTGGCTTGCTCCCACCTGATTTGTCTGAGGAGGCCTTAGAAGCAGCAGCCTCTCCCGGGCCACGCTCTCCCCCTCTCCCGGGGGAAATATGGCTCCTCTAATAAACGTTGTACTAATCTTTCTCCGGTGCCTGCCTGCCTGTCTCCACGTGCTTCCCCGGGATGGCTGTGTGGGATCCTTCAGTCTCCAGCCCAACCCAAAACACCCCACGTGAGCCTCAGCCCCAGCCCCACGCCCATGCCTGAAATACATCATGGCCGTTCCCAAGAGTCTCCTTCACCGCGGCCTTGCAGGGGGCCACTTACCTTTCTGTGTCTGTCAGTGTCCCGTGACTTTTCCCGCAGCCAGTCAATGGTATGGAAGTCCTCGTAGGTTCCCACGTCAGGGAATGGCTCGTCGAGGAAATCCATCAGGTTCCCAGAGCCGCTCATGACCCCTGCACTGACCATGCTACTTACTCCTGCAAGACACAAAGAGTTGTTCAGAATATCCCACAGGGCTGGACGCTCAGCACAGGCACAGTACTGGCCTAGCATGCGTGAGGGCCCAGGCTGTAGCCCCAGAAAAAGCCATAAGCAGGACGACCACACACAATGATCGATCCACAGGCTCCATTTTCTCATATAAGGAAAGCTCATTTCATAGGGTGCCATGAACTCCTGATACACATTATTCTAGATTAATCTCCAGAGAATGATGCAAAGTAAAAAAAAAAAAGTCAATCTCACAAAGGTTATCTATAATAGAGTTGTATTTTTGTCATAGTTGTTTTCTAGGAAGCCATCTTGAACACAGAATTACAAAATGCTAACCAGCTGCTTCTAAGAGAATCTAGGCTTAGGTTCCTGTGAGCCTTGGGTCATGGCTCTTGCCAACCTGTACATGCATAGCCTTGTTTTCTGGGTGCTTCTGTAGAAAGATGCCTTGTTCGAAACAGATTGTTCACTCACTAGTGCTGAACCGGCCAATTCAACTGCTGCTCCTGCCTGAATGAAGCTTCTCCAATACACATATTTTCTGCAGAAGGCACACTGCCATCTCCTCGCCCACAGCAGAGCTGACAGCACTCCCGCACTGCCTCGAGGACCACTTTAAAGAGAAAAACTAGCAGCCAGAAAGTACAAAATGTAAAAAGCAAGGCACTGAAGAGACACAAAAAGGAGCCTTGTTGACAGCCCGAGAGGAACTACAAAGACACAGGGTCACTTCTCCAACCTGAGCTGAGTGCGGGCTTCCGGCAACTTAAAACAGTTTGCCCCCGCGTACGTGCACACGTGTGTAAATGACCTCGAAAGCCCCACACACAGGTCGAGCCTTGAATGCCACTGAAATACCACATACTACCAGCATGATGGTCACGGCGGGGTCGTAGGGAAGGAGTGAGGCCTTTAAGACGTGGCGCCTGGGGGCAGTCCTTGGGTGATTAGGGGTGTGTCTCCGCGGTGAATTGTGGGAGCTCCAGGTCCTTCCTCCTTTATGACCCAGCTACGATGTGAACAGCTGTGCTCCACCACTAGTTCCTGCCACCAACTGCTGCCTTGCCACAGGTCCAAAGGGGCCAATTTATTACAGACTAGAACCTCCAAAACTCAACCCCAAATAACCCTTTTTTCTTTTATAAGCTGATTGCCTTAAGTATTTTCTTATAGTCACACAAAGCTGACTAACACTGAGGGTTACAAAAATATATTAACAAATAGGCCAGTTGGCAACTAGGGTCCATTTCTGAAACACATCATGTTCTGTAATGGGAAGACATGGACAGAGTAAGCCAGAGGAGTAGATCATTGGAAGTGAACAGGTCGTTGGCTCCCCTGGGAGAGAAAATCGAATATTGTGGTAGGCAGCCTATGCCGTCGTCATCACGGACATTGCAGCTGTACAGTAAAAACATGCGCAAGACTTTAATTCACTAGTTCAAGCCCACTCCACCGGGCAAGCCACCGTGCTGACAAACAAGGGAGCCAATATCACACAGAGCTGGCAACATACCTAACCCTGGGCAAGAAGTCCCAGGTGCAGACGTTCACCTTTTTTAAGAGCCAAAATGGCTCTTGCTGCCGGGGCAGTAACAAAGCTGAATGTCCCTTCCCGTGGAAGATAGTGGTTCCATCCCCACGATTCCACTCCCACCACTTGGCTCCTCTTGTTTGGAAAAGAATCCCAAAGGAACCTACTCACTGTCCACATTCCACCACCAACACAGTCTGACTTCCAGATCATACAGGAGCGATTTTGAGATGAAGAAAATGCTTTGCAGCAGGACCAATGCTCACCCCATTCAGCAAGATACATAAATAAAAATAATAATTACAACAACAACTACAATAATACACTCTGACAGAGACAAGAGGTTGGTAGATGTACTAAATAAACATTACCTTGGCAAAGAACAGGGAAATTTGGCTTATAGCTTAAAGAACCACAAAAGTGCTGGACTCAATGGTTAAAACATCGAACGTGGTTATAAAAATGAGTGCACACTTCTCCATTTCTTTATAGATTTATATATCTAGAGGACTCAACTATGACCTTATGAAACTGAATTTTAATCAAATTGAGAAGTCACTACGGGCAAAGTAGCGTAATAATCTTACAAGCAATAAAATGGCTACCGTGATTGATTTATTGACCACCTGTGCAACTCAACTGCTTTCAAACTTTTCTAGTTGGAGTTCTGAGCCGTGCCAAGTTGAAAACTATACCTGGTGATGGCTACCCAGGGAAGAATCACATTGCATAAGTCAGTAGCCACCAATAACCTAACCAGTAATAGAAGGGAAGGAATCAAATTAGAAAGCAGGGATTTCATTCCCATTTTTACAAACACAAGATAGTCCTGCTCTCTTATGATACGTGACAAAGAAAATCTCTGATGGGAAAAATAAGATGACAGGCTGTTGACCCACAGTGCCAAGCCCAGGCAGGTGGACATTCTATTAAAGAGAAGTTGATACTGCCGGAAATTTGCCCAAATCTCTACTTGAGCAACTATTCCAGGCAATAATGCCTGCAACAGAAAGTCCAGCTGGAAACTCTGACAGAGCAAATCACGGCTATGACCATTAGATACATAAGTGGCAGATAAAAATAAACATAATCTAACCAACAGCCAAGTTTTGGGTGCTTCCCTGGGGATCCAAAGTAGGTGGTATCACTTCTGAATTGAAGTTAAGAGCTGCACTGAGAAGATGTAGAGACAGGGGGGAGGGGGAAGGGAGAGGGGGGAGAGGGGGAGGGAGAGGGAGAGGGGGAGGGAGGGCACACTAAGTACAGGAAAAAGGCATCTGGGTGAGAAACTGGAAGGCACACTCCTCTCTGCGACCCAGAGGGGAGATGCAAATAGAAGAGAAATGGAGCCAGGCGCTGGTGGCTCACGCCTGTAATCCTAGCTACTCAGGAGGCTGAGATCTGAGGATCACGGTTCAAAGCCAGCCCGGGCAGGAGAGACCGTGAGACTCCTATCTCCAATAAACCACCAGAAAACCGGAAGTGGCGCTGTAGCTCAAGTGGTAGAGCGCTCGCCTTGAGCTGAAGAGCTGAGGGACAGCGCCCAGGCCCAGAGTTCAAGCCCCACAACTGACAAAAAAAAAAAATAGAAGAGAAATGGAATGTACACATACACGGGGGAGGGCAGCAGGGAGTGCCGGCAAAGGACTTGCTACCTGAGAAATAAACCTGGCCTCTGTGTCACGTCAGTGTGGTACAGAAGCCCCTGATTCACAGAGTCATTTGCATCTGAGAAGGGGGTCCCTGGGTCCCCTCATCTGATTTTTACTACTTCTCCCCACCCAGTACCTTTCTGCTGGTAGATGCCACTTTGGCTTACAGCTGTAAAGCTAGAGTTTCCATAAGGATCGCATCCTAGAGCCTGGATGGGAGATTTCTACTTGGATGGAATCACTTAGAACAAGGCTCAGCAAACTTTAGTCCCGGGCCGAAGCAGATTGCCTGATTGTGTGCATCAACTTTAACTGGCTCGCAGTCATGATCGCTTGTTTACATATTGTCTTAATGTTACAATAGCAGAATAAAGTAGTTAAGACAATGACATGGCCATAAAGCCTAAAATGCTTACTATTTGGCTCTTTATAGATTAAAACAAAAGTCTGCTAACCCAAGATCTATGTAGCGAGTGGTTTTAAAAATGGCCCATATTCTCCATCCCGGCCTGGATCTACCATCTTTTCCATGGGAAGTTGTGATTTCTCTTCATTAGTACCTGGCGCGTTTCTCTTTTCTTGAATCAGGGATGGTCTCGTGACATGTGGAAAAGCCAGCGTGTACATATCGAGCCTAGATCCCCAGAGGCAAGGGAGCTTTTTCCTCTCAGACCTTATCCATCTTGAGAAGCAGTCTCAGCTAGAATGCTGAAAAGGTGATAGAACCCACAGTCTTGAGTGGATCAGTCAGTCAGTCCATCCCACAGCCCTGAAGCCCAGCGGACCACAGACACACGAGTGAGCCAGCACTGGCCCAACCAAACCACCAGCCAGCCTGGTGCGAGAATAATGCATACAGTTACTGTGGGATAGGATGTGCAAATCCCTGGGCTCAATCTCCAAACCCAAGGAGAAAGGTTATCATTTTGAAGCCATGAGTTGCTATTCACAGCATCATAATCCTGGCTAATAGCTAGGATTTACTGGGGCTCTGAGGGAAAGGAAAATGAAGACAAAGTCAACTCTGTAGCAACCCCAGAGAAAAACCAGAGCAACAAGAAATGACAAAGCCACCCGCAGAGATAGGATAGAATGGAATTTGCCCTAGTTCATGCTGGTGGTATCTTGCCCGATAGTCTCTCTCTGACTCAATCAGTATTTACCTTCAAAGGGACTTGGGAAGACTTGCAGTACAGCCAGGTCTTTCATCCAAGCCCTTAAGGTAAAAAAATATCTGAGCTGGGCACTGGTGGCTCATGCCTGTCATCCTAATTACTCAGGAGGCTGAGATCTAAAGATCGTGGTTCAAAGCCAGCCCAGGCAAGAAAGTCCATGAGACTCTTATCTCCAATTAAGTACCCTTGAGCCAAAGAGCTCAGGGACAGCGCCCTGGCCTTGAGTTCAACCCTCACAACTGACAAAAAATATCTGTAGGTTTGGCCCCAGCATGAAGCCCCCAAAAGGCCAGGATCAAAGTCTGACAAGGTGGTAAGACTGTGTCCAGCAAACTCACCTCAATTGGACCAGAGCCTGAGACAAGCATGAAAGTGTGATAAGCATCAGTGATGTAATCTAGGCCTTTGATGTTGAAAGCTACCCTCAGAATGGGGATCTGTAGCATTTAAAGGAAGCGTTTGCAAAAAAAATATCATGGGTTCTACAAGATGAAAGAAAGCAGGAAATCCTCCACCCAGATAAGGGTGGAGGAGAGAGTCAGGAGGATATAATCAAGGCTTCTCTACATAGAACGCCCCGCCCTGGCTCACCATAGCTCTCCGCATGGCTCACCGAAAATGTC